CGGGAGCCTCGCATCCAGCCATCAAACCATTCAGCCTTCCAGCCATCCAGCCATCCAGCCATCCAGCCATCCAGCCATCCAGTCCCACGGCCAACTCCTTATTACCTCTAGTATTCGTAATTAAGTCCTTCCGTCAAATTATCACAAAAGCCACCTTCGCATATTTTCACCATATAACATCGTGTGTCAGTGCACACGTGTAGCGCGTAGCCACATATGGAAACGCGTGACAAAGTGCTTGCACGACAACCTTTGCTAAATCCCACTGGAGTTCTCGAGGGTTTCCTTTTAATGAAAACCCTTCCTATTGTCTGGCTACTCGGGGAAAGACTGCACATGAGAATTGCATTGTGCGGCTTTGTCATTGAACATTGCGCAGGGTGAATCATTTTTTGGGGGGGAATTTTTTACATTTTTTATTCTTCACTCGCATACCCTGGTCCTCTCAAGACTTTGCTATACGGAATATTCTGTGACGTTGAAATCGATCATTTGCCGAGTACTGAAATTTTAATAATTTTTTTTTGCCGCTTGAGTCATAAATATTCATTTTTGTCATATTTATGGGGTTACGGCCGAATTATTTTCTGACTCAATGCCCCTGATGACGCAGTCGAACGATGATCGAGCAATCGTGCCTTTGCGTGTAAACGTTATTCCCCGCAACGAGAGAAACGGAAGTTGGACCTCCGATAAGACGAACGTCAGGAATGAAGAATAAAAAAAATAAGAGGAAATGTGACGGTCGACAACTTTTATCGTGTTAACAGATGTGAATCATACGCGTCTCCTTCTTCCTGTGCATTAATCTGCGCTGACCAAATATTCTTGACGCGCGAGACTTTGCGCTACGAAAAATAATTCCCAACGCCGATAAAACGTCATATTCGTAAAATAGTGTACGGGATGGCAAACCGCATTTTACGAGATTCCCCAAAAATCCCCGAACGCCTGATAAACAGTCCTGACGAAGATTTTGAAGGTCAGGAGGAAATTCCAGCTGCTTCAATTTTCGAAATTCATACGATTGCGCGTACCTCGTCGAGTTTCGACACATCCTCCGTTGTTTTCTCTTGTCCTGCATGAATATTGCGTCACGACTCTCGGCTCTATAGTAATTCGCGTTTGCCTTAATAAAATGCGGGTACCTCTCTTACATGTGGCATTGAATTACCCAGGTATGACAATAAGCTGCCAGCTAAGAGCCAGTGTAATACAATGAGCCGCCATACTGTACAGGCATGTATATTATATACACATGTGTTTACGGTGCATTGAGAACAGCGGAAAAACGTCCTCGAGTCTGGAACAAAGGACGGGAGTATCCAGTTTAATTGGCCTAACCTCATCGTGGAAGCTAAATCAGATTAAGCGCCTAGGGTAGACGCGAACGCAGTATAGGTAGAGTCGTAGGTACACGCTGTGGGCATCCATCGGATCCCGGGTGTTCCGGGTTATCGATCTGACTATGAGTAACGAAGCGAGTCGTGACTATTAAAATAAAAGGCAAAGGCCGGACATTATTCTCCTTTATGCTTTTTCCGTGTTATTCTCCGCCCAAGTTCCTAACCGAGGAGAACCAGGAAGTGGTTGGGTCTGGTCCGATCCCAACCCAACCTGACACTCGATCCCGTTTGAAGGATCGAAGTGGCAGCAGGTGAATTGCATAACGAATTAACTCGGCGAGACACTACGTAATTGAAAATCCAAGTATTGCCCGGAATTGCCTAACCGTGAACGTGTCTAACGCAATGGTAACTCTAGATTCTGAACTCTCTTGTGGGTCTCTGTTAAGGAGGGGAGGATCGTGATTTTATACTTTGCCGTATGGCCACTCACTTTAATAATTCAAAGTGAATCAGACGCGTGGATCTGTCGAGTGATTCAGCTTTGGTAGGTCGGTGGGTGGGGAGGGCGCGGAGGGCGCGGGGGGATCTTACCGCAAGTCGAGTCAGGAGAGACGGAGAAATGGAAAGGAAAAAAGGGGAAAAAAGTATAGAACCAGTTGCAGCCGCGTTACGCTATCCTCTTGCAGAATCTATTCGCTACGATTTCTGTGCACCGCGCATCGCGGCTGCAGCTGCGATACAATGCGCGAGCTAACACGGTGGACGCTCGCAGTTGCGACACGAGACTATTTTTATTCTTCGCCTCTTGTTTTTCAAATACTTTTTGCAATCGTCGGTCGTTACTCTTGGATTTCTATGGAACGGACATTGCATTTCGCAATTGTGAGAACTGCGGATCTTGGTAGTTGGGGGGTGGGAGGGGGTGGGGGTAGAAGAAATTTTGTACGCGGGAAAATTTAAAACGTGAGCATTATCCTTATGTGGCTTTGACAGAGCGAATTAGTCGAGCGGGTAAACGGTTCAAGTCGTGCGTGAAGGAGTTTACACAGACCGACTATGCGGAAGTTTAACCACAGTGAACTTTACGGAATTGAGCTATGGCAGAGTAAACTCTAGATAACCATGCATTCGTCCTGCCATAGTTTCTGGGTATTGTAGACCTTTGTTTTGTTATTTCTTTTCTCCCCGGAGTCTGGAGCAAAATTATATTTGTATTTCCGTTGTCCGTTTTCATTCACGGTCATTTTCACAGTCATTAATCACTTATGCGCGCTTAGTCCGTGCTCCCTTCAATTTATCTTTTTCCTTCCTTCCACCTTTTCTTCCCCTCTCTCTTCGTCTCTCTCTCTCTCTCTTTCTCTTTCTCTATTGTGAATGACTACGTGACTGTTTAACGAGCTCAAGCCGATTTGGCCGCGAGCCATTCCGATGACTGTACATGCGCACAGCCCTCTGGCCAATGGCCAATCGCCAATCGCCAATCGTTGGCTTCAAAGTCGCGTGCTGACTACTCGATGATTACCGACGATACTCCGAGTAGCACGAGTCACTCGGATGACTCTAGTCATTTGCGTTTAAACATGTAGGTGTCTCTTTGAGGTCACGGGATGATGACAGTCATCCATCAGGGCCGCCTTGAATTTCAAATGATTCGCCATGCCAGCATGTCGTCCGACTCCCTTCCCCGCGACCTCCTCCGTCCCGGCGCTAACAGCGGGCGGCGCTCGCGTTTGGCCAAATCATTAAAAAATTTAGAATTTTTTCCATCCATCAAACCATTTTTCTAGCTATTCCTTGTATCTGTATTTAAAGCTTATTTATTATCATCCTTATTGCGGGTTCTCCGCAATTCCATTCCTCAGATCGTCAATAGGGAGTTTGGTTTTACCATTCGATGACCGGCAGTCGTCGTAGATTGACTACCGTGCAGATCACTGACGTAAGTGTACGCTATATGACACAGGGGCCAACCAGTAAGATTACTGTCCGATAAGAGATCTTATCGTGTCCTACTTATCAGAAACGAAATGTCATATCAGTTCATGGCAAGCATTCGTGTTCGATGACTTTACCCATCCGATCACAGATTTGGATTTTAATTTGAACTTTTTAAATTCTACTTCCTCTTTGCTCAGAGATAACAATACCGAGCGGTCAGGTTGCCGTGATGCATTATCGTGCTGGTCGGCAGTGCAGCCAACCAATTTCCCAGGGTGTCCGATTTTCGACTAATATTTACATCTGCATCGTGTTGCTGGCATTTTGTATTCTATTCGTGACAACAAGAGCGGAAGCTGTTAAGAAACACGTTACGAGCTATTGATACGGTATAGGCGATCGATCGGTTTGCAAATATTTGCATAAATTGGCACGATCGTTCGGAACGATTTAAGTAAGACGTTTTACGTCAATCTCCCGGCGATTACGTGCAATCTCTTTTTTGGAAATTAATCATAACTCGCATGGATCATCAAGCGTGGTTCTTTGGGCTTTCCTTCCGTTCTTGGTACGATAAAGGAAGACGGTTTGGAACTCTTTATTTTTATGTCTCAAAATACCAACAGCAATTAGCACTAGTAGTCTTTGTTAGTTACTAGAATTTATAGTGACAATATCGATTAGATTTGTTATCGATTCCTTCGCGAGGAACCTTGAATCCAGGGACGTGCTGTATTATCGTTACATATCGAGGGTCCCTAACCTCTGCTGTCTCTTCCTGTCTCTATGACGTCACGTCCGCTGATCGGCGGATCTCGATACGAAATTTCCGCCCTGTCGATTCGCAGGGACAAAACCGATAAACCATGTCGCGCTTGTTATACCGGTTATTGGAGAAGCCCTATAAAAGGCACTTGACAGTACAGTGACGGCTGATGGTGCCTATAGCGATAGTCAGCTGTGTCATTGGTCATTGGAGAATTATTTCTATACCTACAGCTACTTTCACAGTCATGAATTATACTTTGAACCTTGTTAATGACAGTTTGGGCAGTCTGAATAATTATCGCGAGGTAATCGAAAGTGATAAGAAGAAAAGTAAAAAAATTTTGTAACTTCTCATAATTTTGTTTATAATTCTAAAAATATTATTCCTTGTCAATTAATGACAACGTCCGACGGCTAATTATAAGAGGGACGTTCACCGTAATCAGTATGAATGTAGCTTTTCGATTTGTTTTGTTCGCAAGTGCGTTGGACGTTCGTTTTTAAATAATTATTTATGAGATTTTAATCTCTATCAGTGAGAGATTGGAAAAATTTACCTGTATCGTTGATTACGTAATATTTCAGTGATAACGGGCTCATGAGTGAAACCCCTTGAACCTTACGATTATGACTGTCATTACGTAACGTGCGGGTAGGAGAAGTTAGGAATTGATGCGAATGTTATTTTTGGTGGTCGTTTCGACGAGCTTTTAAATTTCTTATCAGATCCTCATTTTATCATTGTTGCCGATCCTACGTGTTCCTATGAAAATGCACGTGCGCTATTTCTATGTTATTTTATTGAATAATGCGAACGAGCGAAGTTGCGATAACGTGGAAAATATATAAAGTCATTTTTTTCTAGGATCCATTTTTCTTTCTCTTTCTTTCGCGCGGGTTTTATCGAAACTCTGATAACGTCTCGATAAGCCGATCGACGGACGTTCAGTCTCGGGCGGAACGTCGAGCGCGATTTTGTCGACGAGTCGTGGCTGCTGGGAGGGTCGGATGTGGTCAATTTTATTTTTCATATTTTTTAAAAAATTTTACACGTCTCGCTGACTCGTGATAATAAAACGTGCAGCTGATATTATTTCGCGGTATCGCGATACCTTCGATAATTAATTTTTTCCGAGTAACTTCGCAGCGGGCTAAATCCGATATCGATAGAGCTTCGGGAGTTTCCTGTATAATTGAATCGTTAATAGTAGCAGTGCAATTTTTTTGTTAATTATGGAGATTCAGAAGATGCAAAAGTGGGACGTTATCGACGAGTATTTCAAGGACTTTTTGTACATGTTCAATAGCGTGAGTAGGATTTTGAAAAAAAAAAAATATTTATAAATCCCAGTGGATCGATGCAGTTTGTAAATGTTAATTTGTCAATCGACGAGCGATTGGTTTGAATTTTTTTTTTAAATATTATTTCGAAACATAATTTTGACTTCTGCTAATTAACTCAATGGTTGGCTGCTATAAGCGTTTTTCCAAGAATCTGTCAGTGATTTTCACAGAAAAGCACAAACGTTATTAACTTTTAATGGCAACGCAACGAATCAATTGAGTAACGAGGCTTAATTAGTGAGGCGATTTACCGCTTGGAATGTTTAATAAAGTCAGGCACGGCGGCCCTCTTGCGAGGGCTCTTAAAGAAGTACTCGCCAGAATCCACGGCCGATTAACTTCGATACACGTATTAAGGAGTTTCCAAGTAATTTGATGTTCCAGTATACCGAGCACCGACTGTACAGTCATTGTCGAGCGAATTGCTGCTATCTGCATTCCCTTATGCAATTGCCTTCATGACTGCAAGCCTGTGTAACGACACTGCAGTTACGAATGTTAGTAATGCCTTGAAATACTCGTGATGATTTCATAGAGACACTTGTCACGGATTACTTGGAAGTATCTATAATTGTGACGAAGGATCCTATAGGCGACACCTTGAGTACCGAGGAATTGTTACTTTATTGCAGGTTCTATGAAATTGCAGCTGACACCGTTTCTACGTGCGACGCATTGAACGAGGAATCGAATTGCTGGAAATATAGATATATTATGTGTATTTGAAAATATAGCGGGACCAATAAAGAGACAAATAATTGAGTGATATTTGCTGTTGATTTTTAGATTGACGCGAATGGAGATGGCTTCATCGACCTGACCGAGCTCAGGAACGCCCTTGACGTATGCGGCTTCAAGATGCCTGGCTACAAAGTCCGTCAGATGATCGAGGAGTACGATGACAAACAGCATCTGCAGCACAAAGGTCGTCTGTCCTTTGAAGAATTTGAAAAGCTCTGCAAGGAACTCAAGGCCAATGAACTGGGCTCGACCTTTAAGCAGGTCGTCTCCAAGAAGGAGAACTTGGAAACACTAGGTGGTATTTCCGAAGCCTCCAGCGAGGGCACCACTCACTCGGTTAGGCTGGAGGAACAGCTTGCGTTCAGTGATTGGATCAATACCAATCTGGGCCACGATCCTGACCTTAAGCATCTATTACCAATTGACCCTGAAGGCAAGACTCTCTATGATAAGGTCAAGGATGGCATACTGCTCTGGTGAGACAAATTTGTAATATACGTTTGGACGTGCGTTCGAGGAAAATTGCATTACTCGTTGGACGGTTAATGATTGTTTTTTTTTCTCTTTTTAGTAAAATCATCAATCACTCCTGCCCCGATACCATTGACGAGAGGACGATTAACAAGAAGAACCTAACCCTCTATAAGAAACATGAAAATCTTACTTTGGCACTGTCGTCGGCTCAGGCTATTGGCTGTAATATCGTGAACATCGACGCTCACGACCTGACCAAGGGATCACCTCATCTTGTGCTAGGATTGCTCTGGCAGATAATTCGTATAGGATTGTTCAACCAGATCACCCTGGAGAATTGCCCGGGATTGGCAACTCTCTTGCAGGATGGTGAGAGAATTGAGGATCTCCTGAAGTTGTCACCAGAGGCCATTCTCCTGCGCTGGGTGAATCATCATCTGGAAAGAGCCGGAATCGCACGAAGGTGCAACAATTTCCAGTCGGATATTACCGACTCCGAGATTTACACTTATCTGATAAAGCAGATAGCGCCACAGGCGGCCGGTGTTACCCTCGAGGCCTTGATGGAGCCAAATCACATGACCAGGGCGGAGATTATGTTGCAGCAAGCTGGAAAACTTGGTTGCAGGAGTTTTGTTACCTCGAGCGATGTCGTCAATGGAATTTACAAGCTCAATTTGGCTTTCGTAGCCAACATGTTCAACAACTATCCCGGACTAGATAATCCTGAGAGTAATATAGAAGGTCTTGAATCCTTGGAGGAAACTCGCGAAGAGAAGACCTACCGTAACTGGATGAATTCCATGGGAGTGACGCCCTACGTCAATTGGCTGTACTCTGACCTAGCCGACGGCCTAGTGATCTTCCAATTGTATGACATCATAAAATCAGGCACCGTAAACTGGAACAAAGTCCACAAGAAATTCACCAAGCTCAGAAAGTTCATGGAGAAGCTTGAGAATTGCAATTATGCTGTGGAATTGGGAAAGCAGATGAATTTCTCTCTAGTTGGAATTGCCGGTCAGGACCTAAACGACGGCAACGCCACCCTGACCCTCGCCCTCATCTGGCAACTCATGAGATCCTATACCCTGTCGATATTGACTTCCCTGACTGGTACTCAGGGCAGCACCTTTGTCGAGAAAGAGATTGTTCAGTGGGTAAACTCAAAGCTGCAGGGTGCAGGCAAGACAAGCAGTATTAAAGGATTCCAAGATTATAGTATATCAGACGGAAAGGTTGTCATTGACCTGATCGACGCTATTAAACCAGGTTCAGTGAACTATGACCTGGTTAAGGAAGGTGGAACCGAATCGGTAAGCATCTTAAAAGCTTCTTTTTCTTTCCTCTCTCACTCTGCTTATATTTTCAACTCTAAAAACGTATGTCTAATCATATTTGTATATTTCTTTTATTACAGGAAAACTTGGACAACGCAAAGTATGCGATATCTTTGGCGCGCAAGTGTGGCGCACGCGTGTATGCACTTCCGGAAGACATTACCGAGGTCAAACCCAAAATGGTTATGACAGTGTTTGCATGTTTAATGGCGATGGATTACGTGCCGAATATGGACTCGGTTACGCAGAACAACGTGAACAATAGTCAATAATAGTGAGCCTTGTTCTGCGTGTTTTGCTTTCCCTCCAGCATCCGTTCATGCACATTTTCTTTTGTACACTATAAAACGAGAAGAGGAAGATAAAGAGAAGGAGGAGCTCTCTTCTCCGGTAAACGTAATAATTGTATATACCTAGTTTTTAGGACGCTCCATTTTACTGCTTACTTTATTGTCTTCTCTTTATCGCCTAACATAGACAACTTCTGCGAAGAGAAGGTGTAAGTTTCTGATGCGTTTTTTTTTTTCTAAGGGAGAATGAAAAAAACAAAATCATTGTCCCTATTCGCGTCTCCGGGTTCTAACCAGAATTAATTTTTCTTTTTTTGTTTCCTCCAATGACTACTTCATTCCGTTATTAAAATTAGTCTAGGACCGTTTTTCAATAATCCAAGAGATCAGCGCGTACATATACAAGTATTTATATATATATTGATATATATATAAATAATTCCCATTTTTCCAAGTAAAATTTGTATAAACTATTTTATACCGATCAGATCGTACACTGACAGTGCTGATGACAGTAAGTTGTCCATGGACAAAAAAATTATGTAAAAGTTTGCCATTTTGAAAATGAAATTTTCAAGAAAAAGATTAAATACACGAAGCAAAGCAAACTCTATACAAGAGTCTCGGACCTTGATACGATCGTGCGCCTATACATATTATACATACAATCAATTTATATACATATACGGGACGTATGTACTTGATATTGTGGATGTGAATGATTGCCAATCCAATGATGGATTGTTATCTTTGATGCGTGATTATGTGTAACGAATTGTTCGAATTAATCGCTCCTATAATTTCTCCCTGTCAATTTTAAGTGCGCGCAGTCATCCGTATCACGATTCAAGAGAAAGAAATGCAAGTGAAATGCAAGTAACGTTTAATGTTTAATAGATAGAACAAGCAGAAGGAAAGAGACATTGCGTAAAGCATTTATATTTACATTCCTGGCTGTTAGCCTCTTTTTTATACAAATCCCTCTTTTTATACGATCATGAGAATGTTAATTGGACAATAAAAAGATCCTGTCTCCACCGCGTGATTCTCTTTCCTCCGTAGTAAACTACTTTAAATTCTTTCTCTTTTATTAATAACGGATTGCCTTCTTGATAATGAATTTAACTGCCGTGTGCTCACTGGTCATTGTAAGAAAAAAAAAAAAAAAAGAATGACTGAACAGCAGCAAAAATCTATTATCTATTATAATAGGCGGCAGATAGGCAAAGGCTATAATGAGGTCCAGCATCCTTCGCTCCATCGATCAGCATCATGAGCTTGTTCCGGTCCAACGACTGAAATCAAATTCAATTACAAGAAGGACAAGAAGGAAATTGACTCGAAGTCATCTGCATTGACTTCGCTGGATTAAAGACGGAGAGTGAGATCTTTAAAAGAGAAAACGAAGGAAACGATTATAAAAGGGCCATTTGCAATATGAATTGTGTCGTATGAGAATATTGCGACAAGATTCGTAATCATCTAGGAACTGTTTAATAATTATTATTATCGGATAACGATATAGGCATTTATACATATGCGATTGAAAGCGAAGACGGACGGATAAGCATGAAGAAGAGACAGAACGAAAAACATAGGCGAGTGTACGAGCGTAATGCATGTGTGCGAATGAATGAGACCCTCGTTATGCTCGTGCATGGCACATACTTTTAGGATAATTTAAATGTAATTGTAATTTAAATAAAAAGACATTCGCGCAGGGATGATGGTTGTCTTTATGTATTTTATTAATTTATCTTTCATCCTCCTGAATAACATTTCCAAATAGATTTAATCTTTCATCCTGCTTTTTGACTTCAGTGTGTCCTCTTCTGCTAAGAAACAGCCCTGCGAACAACAAAGTTACCTGCTGTCGTGCGTACAGAGTAAGTGTCATACTAAAATTGCATCTTACGACGTTTGATTAGTAAAACAAAAAGTTAAAAGTGTCCAGCTAACTTATTACAGGTAAAATCCATGCGTCTCACGGAACTGACGAATATCACGCGTAGTATTACTGTAATATATACTCGACCAATAAACATCGTGAGACTGGTTCGAGGGCCCATCGCTCAGGTGGCGCGTCGACGTCGAAAGAAAACTTGGACCATCAAAATTGGCTCTAGAGATGAGTACTTAGGGAGATGCACAATGCTACAGTTTTAGGTGACATCAAAAAAATCGCGCTAAATCGTAGCGACGAGTCCGGGAGTAGGATTTCCTGATCATGGCCTCCGTCGACAATACGAATCCCGTCGTAGCAGAGCTAAACGTCAAAACGAGAATGCAGCTTGGCGGGCAGAGGTTCTCCGCTACTCACAGCCGGTTCCCAAAACAACCCTTAGAACGAAACCGGGAATTATAGAACTTCTAAAGAACTATTGAAAAGCCTACTGTTGAAACATTTTAAAGACATTTTTCAGAAAGTGCAGTGCCAACTTGACACCCGTGTAGCACCTCAATTTTTACTAAATATTATTGGATATTGATTTACTTTCTAATTTTATTCAAAATATAAAATTGAGGCTAAATCAAAATCTCGCAGAATATACGGAGTAGATAAAAATTGAATTGAAATTGTAGAATATCGAAAATGAATTACGTTCAAATTGATATATCAATAAATTAGGTGTTTGGAACATTAGAATAATTAATTAAATCAATAAAGTAGAATATCAAGACTTACAAATCGGAAATTCTGGCGAAGCATATTTAGAAATACTGGAAATTGCCTAAAACAGAGTGCACGCAAATTCGTCACGTAGGATTCGGCGAGTGGGAGCAGCCGAAGAGTGGGGGGAGCGCTTAAGGCAGTGCCCCGACTCGAAGCACTCATTCTTCCTCGAGCCGGTCTCCTATACTGGTCTCTTGGAATCTCCTCTCATATATATTTTTATCCTTCTTCTTCTATACTTATTTCTTCTTTAATTCCTTATTCCTTTATCTTTCATTCTTTACTTTCTTATTTATCTCTTTCCTCATTTCTTCACTACATTTATAATTTTATTCCATACTTTTCTATTTTTTAACTTCTTTATTTCTATCTTCCCTTCTGCATTCTTGTTTCACTCTGTTATCTTTCACATTCCATTGTGCTTGTCTTACTTTTCCTATATTTATTTCATCTTTACTTCGTTATTTCTTTATATTTCATTCTTTACTTTCTGATTTATCTCTTTCCTTATTTCTTCTCTACTTTTATACCCCCCATTCGTTACTTTTCTATTTTTTAACTTCTTAAATTTTATCTTCCTTTATAACTTCTCGTTTCACTCTGTTCTCTCCCTCTTTACATTGTGCTTGTCTTACACTTCCAATTTCTTTGGTCGGGTCGAGCATATTAATTCAAGTAGTCATATATGAGTAGTCATCCGGTTAGTGCAGCTAGACTTAAGACCATGGTGTCGGGGGTTGCCCTTCCGCCTCTTCCGCTGAGCTTGCTCAGTGGTTGGTGGCCCAAGTTGTGGCCGCAACAGGACCTTATGGGTCTCCCGACGGGGGCCTTGAGCCCCCTTAGGGTATCTACGGCCATGGTCTTTCGTATAGTGAATCTAGCCAGGTGTCTAGCTCTCGCGTATTTAGTATAATTTGTTCGCTTTGCTAAAAACGCTCCAACATGTCTTGACCCTTGGGCACTTGTGTGGGTAGAGACGATCCTATTTGTCCGTGGGGAGGTCGGAGGGGTAGTCCGTTGACTTTGGGTAAAGTCCTACTTGTGCTTGTGCTTGGGGGTCACTTCACTTGGGGTAGGTGCGGGTGCTATTGAGCACCCGCTAGTATAAAGTCACCCCCTGTCGGAGACATTTTGCGCGTGGATCGATGGCTAACGGGGCCCGCCGCCGGCGGCGGGCGTGGTTCCTTACGTCTAACCCACTGGGCTTGCCCGTGGGAAGGGACGGAGGTTGTAGCGTTAAATATCGTCCTTCCGGATGTCCCGGCGTGCCCGCAAGGGTTCGCTGGGTGCTACGCCCGCGGTCTTTCGTTGCGGTGAATCTTGACTAAGGGCAGACCTTTCGCGTTTAACTTGTCCCTTTCGCGTTTAACTCATATTAGCTTCTTCGCGTTTAACTTCACCTTACCCCCTTGTGCGTTTTTCTTGTCCCTCGACCCGACTTCCTTCCCTTCCTGAGGTTTTTCCCCCCTAGTCCTGTGCGCGAAAGCCGCAGGACTCGGGGGTTTTCCTCAAAAAAAAAACAAAAAAAAACACGGTCCCCTATGGGGC